GAGTTCTGGGGGGGGCTGTCAGGGGGCGTGGGAGTCCCAGGGGTCTGTCTGGGGGTGGGGGTGTGGATAAGGGTTGGGGCAGTCAGGGTACAGGTAGGGGGTAGAGCCCTAGGGGGCCAGTTAGGATGGGGGGAGGGTCTCAGGAGGGGGCAGTCAGGGGACAAGAGGCAGGGAGGCTTAGGTAGGGGGTGGAGTCCTGGGGGGCAGTTAGGGGCAGGGGTCCCAGGAGGGGGCAGTCAGGGGACAAGGAGCGGGGGGAGGGTTGGAGGTTCTGAGGGGGGGAAGTGGGAGGGGCAGGGCTAGGGCAGGACGGGGCGGGGCTCCTCCCGTCCTCTTTTTTGCTTGTTGGATTATGGTAACCCTAAATTATGTTCCTGAAAAATGCAACTTTAAGTGAAACAATGTTAAACAAATCCAATTTTCCCATAAGATTTAATGTAAATGCGGGGGGTTAGGTTCCAAGGAAATTTTTGGGGAGCAGACAAAAGGCATTATATACTGTACAGTACTGTACTGTGGTTGGGAAGTGCCCCTGGCTTACCCCACACAGGCACAGCCCGCTGCAGGCAAGGACACTAGGAAGCACCTTTGCAGCAGCAGTGGCAGCTTCCCCGGAGAAGAAGAGGCGCCAACTTTGCTGGGGAATGCTCCAGGCCCACCTCTTCCTGTCCCCGCTCCACTCCAGCTGTTTGGCGGCACTTAGGACTTTCTGGGAGGGAGGGGGGAGCGCAGATGCAGCGCTTCCCCGCTCCTGCCCCTCCCTCCCAGAAAGTCCTAAGCACTGCCAAACAGCTGTTTGGTGGTGCGGGAAGCACTGGGAGGGAGGGGGAGGAGGCGGAGAAGAGGAACTTTACAAGGGAGCATTGCACAAGTTGCTGCTCTTACAAGCAGTGGACAGAGCAGGTAGTCAAATGACGTTATAAAGGAGCATTGCACAACTTTAAACGAGCATGTTCCCTAATTGAGCAGCGACGTAACTTTGAAACAACGTTAAGCGGGAGGACGTTAAGTGAGGAGTTACTGTACTAAAGTCTATATCCGATTTTCATTTCAGGAATTTGAAGAGTTATTTCTAAGCAACTGGAAGAAGATCTAGCCAATTAGAAAAACTGGGCTGTCCATTTCCACAATTACTAGCAACATCATCATAGTCAATGAAAAGAGATACTGTGTCTTTCTGAAACCAAAACCAGTCATTTTAAAGCAACCCAGAGAATGAAAAACAAAACTTACTTTAGCATCCTAAAACAAGGCATGTCATGAAGCAAGAAAAAGAAAGATTACAATTAAACAGCAAATCCTCAGAAAGTTTAGTTTTACAGAATATTTAGATCATTTAAAAAGTATCCGTGGACTAGTCTAGTACCTATTTGATTCAAGTGGTTTAGTATTGTAACATTAGCACTTCAGAAATGAGTCATTTAATCTCTATATGCGTCTTACGTAGAATCATCAAGTTTTTAATCTTCAGATTAACGCATGTGTATACACTGATTTACTAGTAAAGGCACAAAGTTAAATATTAAGACAGTTCCACTTCACTTGAAACAGGTGTATTTTTGTACTTTGCAAGGACACTGTTGAGTAGCTTAAGCCCAACATCTGACCCAAGAGGTCCATTCTACACTCAATGTATACACAACTCCATCAATAATGCTGGAAATTAAGTACGAAAAGGAGACTAAAATCACTCAACGCTATTACAATCTGATTAGGCAAAATCCTGTGGATTTTTTCAGTCCACTCACTCTTCAATAAAATTAAAATTTCCCCCTTTCTAATAAAGCCAAGGACACAAAATCTCACTTCCAGCCATGTGACACCCACAGATGTGTTTTCCCACTGAAGCAATATTTAAATATTCCCAGACCCGTACTGACATGGAAGCTGGTGTGAAACAGCCTTGGCATACTATCAATTATAAAAATGTTAAAAATACTTATGCAAATTTCTACTCCATAATAGAGGGGGGGAAATGAGATTCTAAAACAAAATATCAAAACTGGTGAGAAAAGAAACAGCATTTTCATGCTCTGAGAATATTACAGAACAAAAACAAATTGAAAAGTATATTAAAACAATGAGTTGACAGTGTCTTTTTAAGTATTTGTTTCCCTGTGCACTAATTTTAAGCATTTATTATAATAAATGAGGGTCGAACTTTATTCCTATGGTTGGATTAAGAGAAATAGAACTGTTAAATTCTCATGCAAGCTTGTGGGAGCTTGATGACCAAATTTATCCTGTTTATTTTAATGCAATTTTTCAACATCTGTCAGGGATAGTCTAGGTTTACTTGGTCCTGCCTCAGAGCAGGGTGCTGGACTTGATGTCTACTAGGTCCCCTGCAGTCCTACATTTCTGTGATTCTAACTTTTAATTATAATGGATTTGAAAACCTACAACTACAGAGGTGAAATTGATTATTTCCTAAATGACCAAAAAATACTTTTCACAATAAACTACATGGTAACTATTGATTAATGTTGCCACTTCAATTTTTGTACACTAAGGAACTTTTCTACCACTGTATATTCAAATTCCAGATAATCTTTAAATTGTAAAGGTTTTTACTATCCTCAAAATAAAGTTTCTTCCAGCCAACCGATCCTGTGTAGTTAAGCGCATTGCTTCACTCATGACTCAAATAAAATTAAATGGCATTTGATTGGATACTGTGTTATTAAAAATCTAGAACTAGACCTCACGAGTAAATCATGATGTATGGTTATTGTACAATAGTGATAAGTGATAGTCTTGTGACAGATACATTTTATACTGAATTCTTACCAACTGCCTTCATCATTCCAATTTAGGATGCCTTGATATTTTTAAACATTTTGTTATGAACTTTAGGAATCAATTTAAGACTTAAATACAACATGGACAAGATCTATGCTATATTTAGTTCTATTTGTGTTTTTTAGATTTAGAAAACATTTGCATCCGTTTTTATCTAGCTGTTATGGAATTTTTTTACAACGTTTTATAAGGCATCTGCAATACAGAATTTAACAGAGGTAACAAATACACATTTAAAATACCAGAACCAAGAGTTGAGAAAAAAGCCATTCACATGAGACAGAAATGCATGTAATACTTTATTTCAGACATGCCAGGAAGCTAATTCATTATCTAGTCATTTAAAAGCAAGCAGCTGTATACAGATAACAAGAGAAACAGCATCTCATTACAGCTCAATGCATAGCATTTTAAGCCAACAGTCATGAGAGAATGCAGATTAAAGTAGCATTAACCAACTGCACATGTTCACACAAACTGTTAATGTCTTACAAAAAAGAGTAACAAACTTGGAAATGGAAAACCATCCCTATGATCTAGTTTTCTATAACATATCCCAGAATGCTGCAAATTAAATCCAAAAATTCCCCTTTCATGTCCCCCAATTTTTTTAAAGTCAGATAGACATTTAAAATGTAGTACATAAAAATACTTTTGAAATTTTAAACTGTTTGTGGTCGATTTATTTAACCAGTTCCTTTCTATTTAAATGAATGTAATCTTTGCCTTAAAGATAAACCAGCTCTATATAAATGCAACAACATTCACTTTTAGTGGACAATATAGGGTGAAGTATATGTCTTCATCTTGGATCTGCATAACACTCAGGATAGTTATTTTAATAGAAATCTTTAAAGTAGCAGTCTTCCTTTTGTGATTCAATACATCTTATTTCAAACTACAAATACTGATTAATGAGCATTAAGATTTTAATATGCTATTAATGACTGAATATTAAAAGCAAAATGTTACAACTCTGAAGTATTAGGTTGCAAAGGAATGTACTTGGGTAACAATTTTAATCATTACTACGATAAAAGGAGGACAAATGCTCAAGTGTTTTCAACCTTTAAACACAAATCAGAATGTTAGAATTCTGAGATTTTGTGATATTACAAAAACATTATCTAGCTTAAATGCCAACGATCAGGCATAACAATTTCTCCCCGCTACCTCTATACATAACAAACAGTAAATCACCACTACCCCAACAAATACTTTCAAAAGAAATTAAAAGTAAAGGTAGAGAAAAATGCATTTTACTTTTGCATTTTTCATTAGAGATGTATGCAGTTTTACAACTATACATAAAGCTTATACATATGTATGTATATATTCTATACACACTTTAAAAAGATAAGCCTTATACTATTCCATGGGATCACTAGTTTCTCTGTATAAACTTCTGATGTATACTACAATTTTATATGTATTTTCAAGTAACACCACAGCTGAAATATTTAAAAGATTAAGTAATGTTACACAGTATGTACTTATTCAAATGAATGACTTCCACACAAACGTTGAACATAAGACTTGGAATTTTTCACACAGTAAGAGATCATATGCTGACAGGAACAAGTTATATCAAGATGAGACATGAGAATATACAAACAGAAGGGGTGAAGGAAAGTACAACAGCAAAGATAATGGTTGTGGTATAGTCTATTGTGTTCAAGATGATTGATTTCACCAAGCTGAGGATAAGGTTCTGCCATGAATAAGTCAGGTCTATCTCCTCTCTGAAATGCTGCATGCATGATGAATGAAGTCATTTAGTACACTGGGACATTAAAGTATTCATGACGTGGCTACAAAAAGAAATGTATACATTCTTACACATAGTACACAGGTGGACAGATATACAATAAATATTCTTGCCAGAAGGTTCTTACAATACTATCTCTAATATAGAACTACACACTAGCCTTGTCTCCACTAGCCCTTTGGGGGAAATATTTTACCATTGTATTACCATTAATGCTCCTCCACTGGTGATATAATGCTGGGAGCATTAAGACAGGGCACAGGCATTTACACCTCTATATCATCTAGACCTAATATAAGCGGATCCAGAAGACATGGGTTACAACATGTTGGAGATCTATCTGCATTAGCTCTTCCACCACTGCTACCAGTAGCAGCACTGTCCCAGTGAGATTTCCAAAAAAGCTTCATGTAGACACAGCACTGTCATCATTATTCCAAGTGGGGTTGTTGGGGGTTTTTTGAGAAAAGGTGGCCCTTTTTTTCTTTCCTTTATATAACCACCACAAATTTCATTCATAGATTGATGACTGCCTTTCAAACTGTTAGAACAGCTCCTTTATGAATACAACATCCATGTAACAATATGCTGCTAAAATGTTTGTATTTGGATATTGAGAGCTTTATAAACTTATCTGATCTTCTACTGTGCATTACATGTGGAAAGGACCCATATAAACTACCTTAAATCAGATTATGGCTGGTGCTACCAAACAGTTTATCTGTACCAGTTCCAGCCAACAAAGACTTGCCCACACTAGGGCTCTGCATACTAATACCAGTGCATTTGAAACAATGATAGTGCAGATAAGAATTTTCTGATAAAATTCTGTAGTGTAAACCCTGCCTCTGAAGGTACAAATATTTTAATCAGCAGATACTCAAAAAGGAACTGAATTTCAACGAAATTTACCAAAATGATGGCTTGGTATGTTTTTCCTTACAGTTATCTACAGCATAGTACAAATTGTTAAAGGAAGTTAAAGGAATATTCTACAAATATTAGAATTTCATTTGTACTTCAAGAGGTTCAGCTGCAACCATTCATTTTTCTGTGGTTTTAAAATATGTGCATGTCTCATGAAGAGGGGCCAGATACTATCGAGATTCCCTCCTCTCAAAAGGGCACTTTTGTTTAATGATTGCAAAACTTCCCTAACTCAGTGTCATGATCAAAAACTTTTCACAGATTAAATCTTACTATTTCACTGAAAATACTCTTGATTATTAACATAACAGTTTGCTCTTGGACTGCATTATGAATATGAAACATTAGAACATTAGAAAAACTGCTTCAGTTGCAGTATATTGTTAAAACCCACACAGCATTCACAACACATGTTCACTTTATGCAATGCATTATGATGTTTTGAGGACACTTGGATCAGAATTTCAAGTGCTCAAGGGATTTAGGAGCAGAAGTCCCACTGAAAGTTGTCAGGACATTTACTTTTCAGCCCGTCAGGCATTTTTTGAAAATCTCCCCATCAGTTACTACCCTTTACTGTATGCCAATTAAAGACATTATTTCACTTTCCGTTCCAGGAGTCACCAAGAAAAGAAATCTCAATACAAGCAAAATCCTTAAAAAGGGATGGAAATACTTACAAGAAAAGCTTCTGCACTTGCTAATCTTATCTGTAACACCCTCCATATAACTGGTCTTTAAATATCTCCAATTCGGTTTAATGTCAAATGTTTTAACAAATGACAAAAAATAAAAATGTATAATTCCCAATTTCCATGGAAATCATTCTTGAGGAAGTAACTTTACTCCGCAATGTTTGCAATCCAAACATTGCAGCACACCAATTATTTAGAAATTAAATATAAACAAGTGAATTTGACTAATTCTTCACTTCTAAAACTATGGTACATATACCATTGGTAGAGCAACAACCAAGTGGTATGTGGGTTGGTTTAAACTTATAATGCAGGGGTCGGCAACCTTTCAGAAGTGGTGTGCTGAGTCTTCATTTATTCACTCTAATTTAAGGTTTCACGTGCCAGTAATACATTAACGTTTTTAGAAGGTCTCTTTCTAGAAGTCTATAATATATAACTAAACTATTGTTGTATGTAAAGTAAATAAGGTTTTAAAAATGTTTAAGATGCTTCATTTAAAATTAAATTAAAATGCAGAGCCCCCCGGACCAGTGGCCAGGATCCAGGCAGTGTGAGTGCCACTGAAAATCAGCTTGCGTGCCGCCTTCGGCATGCGTGCCATAGGTTGCCTACCCCTGTTATAATGGATTCTGATTCAGATATTAACTGCGCTGATTAAATTAGTAAAAATGGTGTGGCATGATAGTTTTCAAACTTCAAGACCTTTCTCATTGCCCAACCCAAAACAGATGTAAACTAACAAATAGTGAAGAGAAAGTTTCAGTCCTGGTCTACACTAGAAAAATCACACTGGTTTACCTATGTCAGTCAGGCATGTTCTCCCATCGGCATAGATACTGTCTACACTGAAGTGCTACAGTGGTGCAGCTGAGATCTTGAAGCATATTCTAGCACTGGCCCCCTGGTGCTGTGGCCTTTGGGAAAGGAGGCATAGGCGCTAACTCTACACCTACTGAGATTCCCCCACGCAAGGGGTATTCCCTACAGGGTACTTACGGAAAGTTCCAGCTTCCCTTGTGCTGATTGAGTGGTGCAAGTTAGTGGACTGGGGAAGCACTGCAAGATAGCAGACTGCCTATTTGAATATTTTGTTAACAAGTCTAAAGAAATTGCTTTTTAACAATGGTATATGAATTTTAACTTTACTGTCTCTCTTTAGTAAGTACATTTAAATTATCTGCCCCAGTTTAGATTTGGGAAAGGTATGTGGAATAGCCATAAATAATGTATAGCATTTTCTCCTCCTGGGTATAGCTGGAAGGGTCTTGGGCTCACCTCCCCTAGTCCAGCACCTGCCACTATTCCACCTGGCTGGGCTATCCCTCATCTCACAGGCACTTGACAGCTCTTTCTGGTCAGGGAGAAGGAAGATTTACTGAACCCAACAAGACCTCATTTCCCCAACTCTCCTCTGAAGAGCTCACCAATTAATTTAAGATCTTCCCAGCACAGTGCCAACTTCTCTCCAGCACAGGGGGTCACCTCTGAATATAAAGACTCATAATTCAATTTCTTGCAGGATTGGTACATGACAAATAAGAATGCCCTAATCCTTCACTTGATGGTTTATCCAGTTGCTACCTTGCTGTTTTTTGTACTTTCCAAATTAGATTTATTTTTATTTTTGCCTCAGTACCAATATGGAATAAGCCTTAACGTTTGTTTCCTCTATGCTAACCTAAGGGCTTCCTGATGCTGTATTCCAGTTGACTACACTAAAAAAAAAAAGTTACCTTTTCGGTAACTGGTGTTCTTCGAGAGGTGTTGCTCATGTCTATTCCACAATAGGTGTGCATGCTCGCCACGTGCACCGGTGCCGGAAGTTTTTCCCCTAGCAGTACCCGTAGGGGGGAGCACCCCTCGCGACCTCTGGAGTGGCGCCTGCCTGGCGTGGTGAAAGGGAAGCTGCGTGCTCCCCCCACCCTCAGTTCCTTCTTGCCAGACAACTCTGACAGAGGGGAAGGAGGGTGGGATGTGGATTAAACATGAGCAACACATCTAGAAGAACACCAGTTACAGAAAAGGTAACTTTTTTCTTGTTCGAGTGATTGCTCATGTGTATTCCACAATAGGTGATTCCAAGCTATATCTGTTGGAGGTGGGTAGGAGTTCACAAGTTCCCAGGACAGAGGACAGCCCTGCCGAACCCGGCGTCATCCCTGGTTTGGGAGACGATCGCATAGTGCAAGGTGAACGTGTGAACCGACGACCATGTGGCGGCCCTACAAATGTCCTGGATGGGGACGGGGGCCACAAAGGCAGCCAACGAGGCCTGTGCCCAGGTCGAGTGTGCCCTCACAATGGGTGGCGGGGGAACGCTCACCAGCTCATAACAGGAACGGATGCACAAAGTAATCCAATTGGAAAGCCGCTGAGTGGAAATCGGCTGGCCCCTCGCGCGCTCAGTCGAGGCGACAAACAGTTGCGAGGACTTTCTGAATGGCTTAGTCTGCTCAAGGTAGAAAGCCAGAGCTCACCGCATGTCAAGCATGTGGAGGCGGTGTTCCTCACTGGATGGGTGAGACTTGGGGAAGAGGACCGGTAGAAAAATGTCCTGACCCATGTGGTAGGCGGAGACCACCTTCGGGAGGAATGCGGGGTGTGGGCGGAGCTGGACCTTGTCCTTATGAAAGACCGTGTACAGCGGTTCGGAGGTCAGGGCCCTGAGCTCGGAGACTTGCCCGACTGACATGATAGTAATCAGGAAGGCCACCTTCCACGAGAGGTGAGACGAGGAGCACATGGCCAGTGGGTCACATGGGGGCCCCGTGAAATGAGCCAACACCAGGTTTGGGTCCCACTGTGGAACCGGGGGGTCTAGAATACGGGAAAAGACGGTCTAGACCCCTAAGGAACCGGCCAGTTATAGCATGGGAAAACACCGTGTGTCCTTGCACCGGCAGATGGAAGACCGATATGGCCGCCAAGTGCACCTTGATGGATGAGGGCGCCAGGCCCTGGGCCCTCAGGTGGAGGAGGTAATCAAGGATAAGCTGGATCGGGGCGGTCATAGGGGAAACACCCTGGTCTGCCACCCACCTAGAAAACTAGAACCACTTTGCAAATAAGCATGGCGAGTGGAGGGCCGTCTACTTTCAAGGAGGACGCGTTGAACTTGCTCTGAGCACGTCCTTTCCTCTCCACGTAACCAATGAGCAGCCACGCCCTAAGGTGAAGAGCCGCTAGGTTGGGATGGAGGAGGCGGCTCTGGTCCTGTGAGAGCAGGTCCGGGCAGAGCGGCAACGGCCACGGCGGAGCTACCGCCAGGCCCGTGAGGGTCCCGTACTAATACTGCCTGGGCCACGCCGGGGCAATCAGGAGAACTCAGGCCTTGTCCGACTATCTTCTCCAGGACCCTGCTGATTAGAGGGAACAGGGGGAAGGCGTAGAGAAGCCGGTCTGACCAAGACAGGAGAAA